GCATCAGCATCAGCATCACACCCTCCTCCTACTCCTACTCCTGCTCCTGCTCCTGCTCCTGCTCCTGCTCCTCCTCCTCCTGAAGGTCTCCACCCGAAGAGGAACGGGGGCCGAGCACTCCTCTTCTGCCAAATTAAATTAAATTGGGGTCTTTGACCGTGGATGTCAACAAACACTCGTCCAAGCCCCCGTCATCCCTCCAACCCTCCCCTCTGCACTCCCCCCTACCTGGGAGGCCTGGAGGTACATCGGCGGTGTCCCTCCACCGAGGGAAGTTGCTCACGATCTCGGTGATAGTGGTAGTATGTTGGCTTCCTCTGCGACCGAAGTCTTACCATCAACACCGAATTATAGGATCATCTTCCCCGGTTGAGGCATGCCCGCGCGTTGGTGTTGGTGCCTATTTCCAGGCCTCCAACTACCGCTTCCACAGTCCCTCCGCGTCCGCGCCGTCTCCGCCCTCCACCCTGGAAAGCCAAGAAATACCAATAACAGCCACTCCCCGGACCTCTCCCAGGGTGTGTTCTGACAAGAATTCCGACGAGAATCCAGCGGTGGCGGCGAGGACCTCCCAGGAGGCACGAAAAGGGCCAAACCAGGCCAGGGTAGCGGTATGGGTGCATATCTTCTCCCCCATCCGACCCCGCCCGCCCTGAGGTCCTCCACACCCGCGATGGGGGTGCCGGCAGCAGGGGAGGGGGGAGCGGCAGAGGCGGAGTGCCGGCGAGGGACGACGAGCGGGCGTGCGGCTCCGCGACACGCAGGAGTGCCCCCACGCGAGAGCGATCTCTGGTGCGCGGCCTTTGAGGGCCGCGCAGGGGGCAGGTCCGCGCGTACAGTCGGGGGCTTGACCTAAGGAACCCTAAATTAGGAGCGAGGCCCCTTTTTTTCCATAAGTTGAACTTCGATTTCCAATCGAAAACATAAGGGAAACCTGAGGCAAGCTGTGAAACACTTAAGGAACGCGGAGCCCCTCCCCAACCGAAAGGATTCCGTCTTCAGGGCCCCGACTGTAGGGCAGGTTCGTGCGACGTCGTCGCGCGCAAAGGCTCTTGACACCGCTTCGATCCTTCGACATTGAATCCATCGCGCGGCCCCGATCGTTCCGGGTGGAATTCCGCCGGGTTCAGTGGCGTCTTCGTCATGTCCCTCGGTGCTTCTGCGTCGCGGAATTCAACCTTGAACGCCTTGGCCGGCGTCGCCGGCGCGCCATCGCAGAATGAACCTACCATACAGGTCCGTGCTGGGGGGGGAACCTGTGTGGGGGGGGGGGGGCCAACATGCACCGATACCGGTACTCCCCGAGCCTTTCCCAAGGTGCGTTCCGAACAACATTTCGGGGCAGGGCGGCCAAACCACCGACCACGAAGACAACCAAAGTGTCCATGTCGAGCTCGGTGGGCTGTTCTGTGAGGAGCCCTCCCGGAAAATCAGCTGTGCTGCGGTTGTGGTTTCTGTGCTGTGCTCGGATGCTGGTGCCGGTGCAGCCAACGCGTATGATCCGCCACAGTGCCGCTAGGCACGGAGTGAGTGGGCGTGTCCTCAGGTCCTTTACCTAAACACTTGTCGGGGATGGACAGGCCTCCCTTTAGTAAAACGTGGTTTAGTGAAGACGGCCTGAGGCCCAAACCTGGCGGGCGCAAGCCTGGAAAATAATGGCCGCGGCGCCCTCTCGAGAACCGAAAACGGACAATTCACGAATCGACGTGTCACTGTTGGGGATTCTGTCCACCCCCGGGGTCCGGAGGGGGGAAACATCAAGCTAGGATCGGCGATGCGTCGCCGATACTGCGGCGGCGCTCCGGCCCACGATGGCGAATCCGCACGCTCCTGTAAACGGGCGCAGACTTGCGGCTGGCGGGCCCCCATCGGCGATAAACGGGCGATTGGGGACCGGGTGCCGATCCTACACCCCCCCAATCCTATCCCCCCGCCCAGTGGCTCGTCGTCCAACTCTCGTCGTCCAACTTGATCACTCCTGAGGAGTCCTGGGAGGGGGGGCCAGGGCCCCAAATTCTGAAGCCTCCCCGGGCTTGGCGCGTGCCCCCCGGGGGCCTGTCGCGCTTCTGGCGCGTGGGAAAATTCGGGCCCCAGAGGGCCCCAGGACTGGGCCCAGAGGGCCCCACGAAGCCCCCAAGACGGTCCAAGAGGGCTCCGAGTCGCCGCGAGATCGTTCCAGGACGCCCAAGATGGCCTCAGGATGGCCCACGAGGCAGGACGCCCGAAGAGGCCCTCAGGGGGCCTCCCAAGAGGGCCCCGAGAGGCAAGCATAAGTGATGTTCCTCAGGCGTTTGGCGGAGTTTGGCGTTCTTGCCTGTTCTGTTTTCCGACGCTCCAAGACGGCCCAAGAGGCCCCCACGACCACACGAAGAAGGCTCAAGGAGTCCCTAATAGGGCCCCAAGACGGCCTAAGAACGCCCCAAGAGGCGCCCAAGGCGGTCCAAGAGGTCCGAAGACGGTCCCAAGAGGTGCCCAAGAGAGGGAACATGAATCGGAAATCCGAGCCTTCCGCCCCAAGAGTTCCCCAGGCCCCAGGAGGCCCCAAGGGGCGCCCAAGAGGCCCAAAAGAGGCCCCCAAGAGGCCCAAACGAGGCCCCCAAGAGGCATCAAAACGCCTCCAGTAGGCCCCCGAGAGGCCTGCCACGAGATCCCAACGAACGTCCAATAGGCTTCATATCCACAACCCAGGCACAGTGGCGGGATAGGCCGAATGCCATTCGATTCGCCACCCCTTGTGGTGTTACCACAGGGGTGCCTGGCGTGATTATCTTCATCGAAGATTATATATAGCATATCAGATATAGTATAATGTATGCATGTCAACTGTCCCTAGGGGTTTCGGTCTATTGCGCTGGCCACCCGGAAGGCTTGCCCAAACACGGTTGCGAAGGTTTGTCCTGCTCCAGATGGCTCCAAGATGGCCTCCAACACGGCCAAGATGGCCCTCAAGTTCGCAAGATGGTCCAAGATGGCCTCCAAAACGGCCCAAGAGAGTCCAAGATGCCTCCAAATTTGATCAAGAAGCGTCCAAGACGACCCAAGCGGCGTCCAAGAGGCCTCCGAGAGGTCCTCCAGGAGGGCCCGCAAAGGCAAGTTGCTTGTTAAGTTCAAAAAAATATTGCCCTCTGTAAGGGACCAAACTCTATACACCGACGTTTTCTACGGCCCCGCACTGAAACTCGCACAAGAAAGCGGATCCTGGTGTATACGGGATCCTGGTGTACACATTTGTGCTTGTTTCCCCAGGGAAAACGCGGAAACTAGTATACACCACACCACTCCGACGTCGTCCCCGACCCTCACAAGATCTGAGATTGAAAAACAGCCCGCCACTGGTATGTATATGTTCCAAGTTCCGACTTTGCTTATTTTCGGCCATCCGACGGCCCAAGACGGCCCAAGAGACCCTCATGATCACGCCTAGATGACCCCAAACGCCTCCACGATGATCCCGTGGCGCCCCAAGAATCTTCCAAGACGGCCCCAAGAGGGCCGTCATAACGGCTTAAGAGGCCTCCAAGACACCCCAAGATCATCTCCAAGACTGCCCAACATGGTTCGAAATGGCCCGACCCAAGAGGGTCCAAGATGGGTCAAAATCTGCCCAAGAAGCCTCTCAGAGAACACAAGACCAGCCCAAGTGCCCCCAAAAGGCCCCCGAGAGGCCCACAGGAGGCTTCCAAGCGGCCTCCAAAAGGCCTGGATGAAGCTCCCAGGAAGCCCAGCGTGTCCTCCTCCTCCTCCGCATCCTCCACCTCCTCTTCCTCCTCCTCCTCCTACTCCTCCGCCTCCTCCTCCTCCCTCTCCTCCCCACCTCCCCCTCCTCCCTCCTCCCTCCTCCCTCCTCCCCCCTCCCACCTCCCTCATCCTCCTCCCTCCTTCTCCTCATCCTCCTCCTCCTCCTCCTCCTCCTCCTCCTCCTTATCCTCCTTCTCTTCCTCCTCCTCCTCTTTCTCCTCCTCCTCTCCCTCCTCCTTTATCTGTCCTCCCTGTCCTCCGCTTTTTCTTTCTCCCCCGCGTGTTCCGTAGAGGGTTTCCATAGCGGCTGTGGGAACTCATGGTCCGATAGCTTGGAGTGCTCTGGCCACAACGGTCGGCCACATGGGCGATTCCAAAAGGCAAGGGGGCGGCGGTGCTTCGCCGTAGCCGTCGTCGAGAAGAATGTAAGAAGAAAAGGGTACACGGGCCTTGAAAACAATACCGAGACTTTTCGAGCGGGCAGCGACCGCGAAGGTGTTCGAGGATGGGCAAAAGGGGAAGGATGCAAAAGCAACCTTGGAAACTCGCTAATCCTTCTTATTCGTGTGGGCTGTACCTTTTCCTCCTCCTCCGACTGTGTGGTCACTGAGGAAGCCGAACCGAACCGTCAGAGAAAACCTGCACCTTATCACTTCACCCCGGGCTGCCGCTGACTTCGGCGACGTATTGACCCGGTCAATTCAAACTCGGGTCAGTGAAGTCTTGAAGCCTGCAAGATCCCGCAGGACTCTGCAGGATCCTACAGCATCCTGCACCCGAACCCGGGTCCAGTTCACCCCTGGCCCTGCAGGGTCTTGCAAGCTCCGGCGCTCTGGCTGACCCCAGTTTGCACTGACCCCCGTTTGCACTGGACCCCCCTCCCTGGCGCGCCGGCGCCGCCAAGGGGGCCCAGCGCGGATCCGGGAGATCTGCGCGGAGCGCCAGAAGCTTAGGTTCATAGCGTGTTCTCGTTCCTCATCTCTTGTGCGCCGACGGCTCTGTGGTGCCACACCGGAGATCACTCGGGCGAAGGAGGAGGAGGAGGAGGAGGAGGAGGAGGAGGAGGAGGAGGAGGAGGAGGAGTAGGCGGAGGAGGAGGAGGAGGAAGAGGAGGAGGAGGAAGAGGAGGAGGAGGAGGAGGAGTAGGCGGAGGAGGAGGAGGAAGAGGACGAGGAGGAGGAGGAAGAGGAGGAGGAGGAGGAGGAGGAGGAGCCGTCCGGGCGGGCCGCGGCGGGGGGGCGTCCCGCGCGGCTCGGGCCGGGGCCGCTGCAGCGGAGGCGGCGCAGCGGAGCGGCGCGGCGCGGCTCCCGGCGGGCTCGTGATGTAAGACGACGGTTCGCAGAAGAATGTGGGGGGAACGCCGGTGTGTACTCCAGATTTCGTAATCAAAGGGAGGGGGTCTGGACCCTCCAAGACAAGCCATTTCAGACCTCCCCCGTGGGAGAACCCTCCAAAACATCGCCCCCAGACCCCCCAGGCCCTCCAAGATAGCCTGGAAGAGACCCCCCCCCGAAATGAGACCCCCCTCCCTTTATTACGAAATCTGGAGTAGGGCGAGACGATCCACAAGGTGCGATCGCACTGTGTGCAGTGTACTCGGGGATTCGCGGCTTCTAGTTGGCTCGCCAGGGGAGTTGGACAGGATCGGCCGCTCGCGACCGTGTGTGTACTGCTTTGCTGCTGCTGCTGCTCCTCCTTCTCCTGTTGCTCCTCCCTCCTGCTCCTGCTCCTGCCCCTTCCCTCGTCATCCTCCCCCTCCCCTATCGAGATATCAGGCCAACGGGGACCGGCTGCCCCCTTGTGCCCAAAGCAGCCGCGTGCACCAGCACCACCACTCACGCCCCCACTCGGACAATTCCACACACAAACACACGGACATGGGCATGATCCTTGTGGTTTATACTCATGTTGGTAACGTAGGATGACGATAAATAAAATAATGTCGGGGGGAGGATCAACAAAGAAACTCCGAATCTTCGGCTTCCGCTGCGCTTCGGCGCCGTCTGGCCCGTCAACTGTCCAGGCGCACGCCCGAGGAGGCCCGGGGCCGTTTTCCTAATCAACCTGGGCGCCGCCGCGAGAACACGGTCCCCGGAAATTCCTTAATCATTACGACCGCTGGCTACAGGCATACAAACAATACACCACCTGAATAGCCATAAACCGCTCCGACCTCCGAAGGTTTATGGTTGTACGGATTTTCTCCTACGCAAGCACTCGCCCCGAATCCCGCCAGCCCTCCGGGCGCAGGTGGTTTAGGGAGTTTCCTCTTCCACCCCCTTCTTCCCCTTCGGGGAGGGGTTTACCCCTCCCCCCTACCCCCTCCCGACGTCCAAAACGGCCTCGGCGAGGAAGCCAAAATCATTGGTTTTACTCGAGTTTTGGCTCCATTGTGGCCTCTTGGGGAGGGGGGCAACCCTAGATCGGACCTCCAAGATGGCCCCATGAGGGCCCCTAGAGGCCCCCAAGAGGCCCCCAGGAGGCCCCCAAGAGGACACAAAGCGGCCCCAAGAGGCTCCCCGAGGCACCCAAGACGCCCAAGAGCCCCCCAGGACCGCCAAGCGACCCCCAAGATGTCCCAAGAGGCCACCAAGAAGCGCCCAAGAGATATCCCAAGAGGCTCCGAGAGGCATCCAAGAGACCTCTGGCCCTTGTGATCGCCCTCATCATCCTCCTCCTTCCTCCTCCTACTCATTCTCTTCCTCCTCCTCATCATCCTATTCATCCTCCTTCTCCCCACTCCCTCATCCATCCATCCATCCATCCATCCAGCCTCCTCCTTATCCTCCTCCCTCCTTCGCACGGTTCGGCCGTCCCCCTCTTTGCTCCCGCACTTCCCTGATCACCTCAACTCGCCTGAACATCGTTTCTGGATGGGCTGGTGGGAATACTTTTTTTTCCTCGGCGGCTCCAAGGAAAAGCCCAGGGAGCGGTCACAAGGCTGGTGGGAATACGAAGCGTCTAAAATGCTTGCTGTTGCTCCTGATCCTCCACGATCCCCCTGCGGCTGGCTCCCGTCGTGCCGACGCGGACGCTGGTGTCTGACACCACGCAGATCGCGTCTTGAGAGGTCTTCGCGCTGCCTGGCAGCGGAGGCCACTCAAATCAAGCAACAACGAATCGCATAAACATGCGCTGTCGGAGCTCCGCGCGGACTTCTTGAATCGCCCCCCCCCTTCCTGGCGCGCGGAGCGCGCCAGGGCGGGCGCCGGAGGCGCCGCCGGGGGGGGGCCCATGGCCGATCCGAGCGATCCGCGCGGAGCTCCGAGAGTTCAAGCCTACGTAGCATCCCGGGAGGCAATCGGCGAGGCGCAGCTGATGAAGACCACGAGGACGAGGATCGAGGAGGGGGATCGAGGAGGAGGAAGATCGTCGAGTGAGGGTTGAGCAGGCCAGGCCGACCCTGGGCTCAAGATCGGTGTACGGAGCCAAGGCAGGGACTACATTGGACCTGTACAAATCGGGGATCTCTGAGATCTGGCGGCTCTGCAGGATGTGTCGGGGCCCGCGGCAGTTCCAGAACGGTCCAGAACGCTCTGAGAGCGCTCCAGATTGCTCTGGAACGATTTGTCCCAGTCCTAGACCCGCTCGACGTGTTGACTACGCCGTCATCACCACGCCATGCTCATTATCCTCATCCTTGCCCCCGCCTCGTCCTCGTCCTCGCTGTCGACAGCGTCGTCGTGCGCCTTCCCCTTGCCGCCTCCTCGCATCGCCGCGAGTCCGTTTAAATCCAGTATCGAAGGTGTGTATGATACATATATATATATGCATGTATATATATGTATATATATATGTATATCTATACATATATACATATATATATATATATATGCATATATATATATGTATATATATATGTATATATATATGTGTATGTGTATATGTATATGTGTGCATGTACTCTTTCCGATTGATGCCGCAGCTGAGTTCAGCACAACTCCTGAAGAGTACCCATTTCGGCGCGACATCTCGAGCACTAACAACAAAAACTCCGTATTGCATCTCGGTTTGATTCGCTGCATAATCGGTTGACGTGGAGGAATCTGAGGGTCATGGGGAGGGTAGGGGGAGGGGTGCCGAAAAATATGACGATGAAGCAGCGCACGTCGGAGGAAGACATGTGGAGATGAGGTATCTGCAAGCCCTGAGGTGACGTCCTTGTCTTAAGGATCTTCAGCATAGCCCCCACCGTGTCGCAGGCGTGCTTCTCTCCCTCCTGCAAGTGGCAATGACTACCTCCTCGTCCTCCAACTCCTCCACCTCCTCCTCACGCCTCGTCTGCCTCCCACAGCCCCTCGTGCTGATCATCCCTCGCGTCCTCATCCTCCTCCTCCCTCCTCTTCTTCCTGCCTCCTTCTCCTCCTCGCCTGCTGCTCATCGATGTCCTGACCGGCCGCCGCGCCCGACGACTGACGTCCGGCGCGATCAGCATGGGGGAAGCGGGTCCCGAGGGAAATGGATCCAATGGGTACAATGCCCAACAACAAATGCTGTCCCAAACCAACAGCGGCCGCTGTTGGGCAGGCGGCCTTCTGTCTCGAATGGGCACAGGCCGCGGCGGCGCGGACAGCGAATCCTGTTCAGAATGAACAGGGACTGCTGTTGGGCATCGTACCCATTCTTTCCGTGCCCATCTCGGGCGTCGGCAACACCCCAACATACTTATGCTATATGTGCGTCGCCCCCCCAGGGGCGACGCGCGCACCGAGAAATCTTATAGTATATGCGTCGTGGCGGGCGCTTTCTGGCCACACCGCTCGGGAAACGATATACTACAAGATGGGTATACTATATGTTCGGGTCGGACGCGCGCCTCCAAGGAGGACATATAGTACTAGTATGTCTCTGTGTGTCCTCCTCCTCCTCCTCCTCCTCCTCCTCCTCCTCCTCCTCCTCCTCCTCCCCCTCCCCCTCCCCCTCCCCCTCCTCGAGGTCATCACCGGAGATGGTTCCGCTGGGCCGGAGGGGGAGCGGAAACCGGAACCGGAAACCGGAAACCAGAAAACGGAAACCGGAAAACGGAAAACAGCAAAGAAGGAAGCGGAGGCCGACGGCAGACGACAAAAATCGGAAAACGGAAAAGGGGAAACGGAAAACGGAGAAGAAAGACGCGGGGGATGACGGGAGAGCACCGGAACGGGAAAACGGAAAACGGAAAGCGGAAACCGGAACCAAAAAACGGAAACGGGAAACCGGAAAGGGGAAAACAGAAAACAGCGAAGAGGGAAGCGGAGGCCGACGGGAGACCACCGGAATCGGAAAACGGAAAACGGAAAAAGAAAAACGGCGCAGAAAGACGCGAAGGACCACGGGGAAGCACCGGAACAGGAAAACGGGAAACGGAAAACGGAGACCGGAACCGGAAACCGGAAAACGGAAAGCAGAAACCGGAAAACAGCGAAGAGGGAGCCGGGAGCCGACGGCAGACCACCGGAATCGGAAAACGGAAAACGGAAAACGGACAATGGCGTAGAAAGACGCGGGTGCCCACGGGAGAGCACCGGAACCGGAAAACGGAAAACGGAAACCGGAAACCGGAACCGGAAAACGGAAACCGGAAAACACAAAGCGGAAAATGGAAAACGGAAAACGGAAACCGGAAACCGTAAAACGGAAACCGGAAAACGGAAAACGGAAAACGGAAAACGGAAAACGGAAAGCGGAAACCGGAAAACGGAAACCGGAAAACGAAAATCGGAGGAGGAGGAGGAGGAAAAGGAGGAGGAGGAGGAGGAAAAGAGGAAGAGGAGGAGGAGCCTCCCTTCCTCCTCTCTCCCTCTTGCCCCCCCCCCGCCCCTCCTCCCTCCCCGTTCCCTTTGCCAGGCTTCCTCCCTCCCTCCCTCCTGCCTCCCCCCTCGTTGATCCTGCCCTCACCTCCCTGTCTCCCTCCTCGTTCCCTCCTCCTCCTCCTCGTCCCTCTTCCCGAGCGGAGCCGGCGCGCGGGCTGGCCAGACCGAAGGACAACGACGATCTGATTTCAAGAAGCCCCCAAAACGTTCCAAGACTGCTCCAAGAGGCTTCCGAGACCTCCAAAGAGGCCCCCAAGAAGCCAAACTCCTTCAAACACCAAAAGAAAATGAATGATTTTTGCTTTCTCGCCTTTTCGCTTTTGATGGCCATCCGAAGCCTCAAGGTGCATCCAAAATGGCCCAGGAGAGCCCCAGGAGAGGCCCAAGAGAGCCCCAGGACGGCCCCAAGAGCGCCCCAAGAGCGATCCAAGAGAGGTCCAGGAGGCGATCGTCGGTGCTCCCAAGGGGGG